GGGGGGGGGGGGGGGATGTTCCCGGCGATCAGGCTCGCACTTCGCGTGCCGTGCTCAGAACCGACCCCGCTACAGCTGAGTTTCGCAATAAAACTCCGACACCCCACGGCATTCCGACTCGCCGCGAGAAACCCGGCCTCGAGGCCGCTATCTAACAACGTCACCTCCACCCCACGGCCAGTTAGGCAGCCGTGGTCCTCCGCCTCGTCGGCAGAGGATCTAGCCCCAAAGTCAAATTCGTTCCTCGGAGGAAAAAACCTTAGAAAGAACCCTAAGGGGGAATCAGGTCCCACATCTGATATTTTCCTTCGGCGTGCGAAGGATGGGGCTTTACATGGTATTGCGTAGTATTCGCGCGGAAGATAACAATCCAAAGAAGTCTCCGTGGAGGCTCCTCTTACCTCTTCTACGTTTTCCGTGAAGAAGAGAAAAAGGGTGTATGATAAGTAAAGGAAAATGTGCAATAATGATGTTTTAATTAAACACGTTTGTAGATTAATCATTACCTTGTGTTTAATATAATTGGTTTCACTCTTCTAATTTCCACTTTTTTTGAACGCTATCGTCATCTAAATCTTCTGGGGTTGCGTTCAAAATTTTATATAATGAAGAGCAAGATTTAAATTTTATGAATTAACAGTTTCCTTTTTAAATGAATGGATTAATAACGATATAAAAAGAATGATAATCTGAATAAGAATATCTGTTCTATAGATTCCTTTAAGGGGGAAACAATACCTTAAAAGAGTTAAAAGAAAAAAACTGTAAAGGTGAAGAAAAATGTTTAGTCTTTCTTTTTTTCACAGTTTTTCATATGAACAAAGAGTTCAAGGGTATTCCCTAGTAAAAACTGTTGATCATAAGGATATCTTGAAATAAAGGGAGTTGCTTTCCTTTCCCTTATATATATATTTATTCTACATATACATCCACCAGCGCTAGCCAATATCACACACACACAGAAAATATGTCAAGCACGCATAAAAGTTAATCCTCAAGGAAAACTTGTCATAATGTGTTGAGATATAAAGCATAAAATCTACTCGCTTTCATACACCCCCCTCTATAACACACACCATTTCTACCTTTTTCGTTGAATTTCCTTTTTGTTAGTTTTATTTGGTATCCTCGGCGGGGATCATAGGCGGGGTCTGAGTATTTGTCTCCAAGAGCCTTTCCGCAAGCCATCGGATCGGTTCCACGGGTTTTTCACGTACGAGGTCCGCCAACGCAGGGAGGAGGGCCCGCTTGAGCTGCTCGTGGACGTACTCCCGCGGCGTCCCCCCACCCGCCGGCACATCCTCTGCAAGTAGCCGTGGAAAAAGGAGCTGCCCGGCCTGTCGGGCGCCCGCCTTTGTTGTATTTACCCACAGCGCTCGCGGAACAATCCCATTTTCCTCTTCTTTTTCTTCGGCATTCTTATTTTTATCTCCATCTGCGCTGTTATTTTCTTGTTCTTGGATAGATTTTGTAGCCAAACGAAGGAGCTCTGAGTAGGCCTCGTGGAGAGGGGGATCTGGCGTTTCCTCTTCGCTCACATGGGTGGAAGGGGTTTCCAAGGATGTAATAAAATCGAGCAGACGCGCATGGCAGTCGCGATACGCGAGAAGAAGAACATAGGCCATCCCAACCATCTTTGATGGAGAAATCATCGGATCGATCCTCCTCTGCACAGTAGGGGACAATTTCTCGTTTGGACTTTGTCTCCTATTCGCGTCATTGTTGAGGGCCTGCCCAGTGGCGATTTTCACGTACTCTGGGACGTCGTCGAGTTTTACGCAGAGCCGCTCCGCGAGCTCGGCGTTTACCAGACGGTACTCCTCTCGGACGACGACGAAGCCAGCCTCGTGCAGGCGGCACTTAATGAAGTACAGCAGCTCCCCCTGCCGTGCGAAAGCCGGGAGTACGAACAGCGGCACCCTAGTGACCGTCCCTGAGTGAGGAGCGGCGGCCATCTTGGAATAGTTATCACAGCTCAGTAATGAATAGCAACAATACTAAGAAATTGTATCAGGACCAATGAATTGTAACAATAGAACTGATAGTAAATTAATCAATAAACAAGGGTGGGCTTGGGTCTTTTCCTTATCCTATACGACACTATACAACACAAAGCTAAGGTGGAAAACGGGATGGATTGAATCAGTCAAGTTAATTTGAAAAGAACATAGAGGAAATAGACACAAAACTGATGATAATATACTCATATATATATATATATGAGTATATTATTAAGAAAAATTGTTTGACCTTATGATATAAATGAATACACATATAATACATATACAATAAGCCTAAAACCATTCACAGATGCATACACATATTCTAGAAGTAGTGATTCATACAGCATTTTGTTTAATGATAAGCCACAAAAATCCGATCCAAGATGATTTTCATAAAATTCGACATTTTAAGAATTTCAATTATAACGATTCCCTTTTCTCTTCGTTAATGCAAGATCAAAGAAAACTAAATGTCAATTATTGAGAGCCCATCTTATCAACTAAAAAAGCAATAAAACCCTATTTATAGATTCATAAAATGTCAGTAAATAATAATAAGCAGAATATAATTTTATATCTCATTTGAAATAAAAGAAAATAAAATTCTGCGATATTTATTTAAATTTCTACTTTTAACAAGACACCTCTTCCCAAAGAAAAAATATATGATTACAGGGTTCCGTTTTTGTAGTATACAAATGAAATATACACAGATAAATATATAATACAATATATCTATATCTATCTCTCTATATATAAATATATATATATGTATAATTCATTTAATATTTTATATTCTTTTGTTGATGTTGCTGTTTATCCTATTTATACATGTATGCATCACCAGATCAATAAATATGTGAAGCAAGCAAATAACACTTCAATAGCTATGTGTTAATAAAAAAAAGATGAGTACACATATAGAAGAACCAAAAGAAGCACCTGAACTAATTATCCCAACTCCCCAAAAAGGGGTTGACTTAAGTAATTTACTCGAAAAACCACTTTAGCAGAGCTCATGGCATTCCCCATTTTATTTCTGCACTATCAACGTAGTTTTTCTTTTCCCTTCTCTACTCAGTAAAAGTCATTAGAAGGTTATGGTATCAACGGTCAATGCTGAAATTTTCGTTCCTTTCGCGCGTGTTTCTTAGAAAACTGAAAAAAAAAAGAGAAAATGTATTATGAAAAGGAATCGTCTTGTGAGTTCGCTCAACATTTGGACGATACCCGAGGCGGAAAAGCGAATTGTCGATCACTTCTCCAAAAGCGTCCCCATAGAAAAGGAGGAGGGGAGTAAAGTATTCGCCATGCTAAAACATCGTCTGTTTCCGTATTTGGACGTTTGGAGCTGAAAAAGAGATCGTTTGGGGAGTATCCTCCTGTCCACCGGACTCGTGGCGTCGGACCCGCTCCCCTCCCTCGAGTGGAGATCAAGAAAAGACGCCCACTTCGGCTGCGTTAGGTCCTCGGTAAAAGGATGCGGATTTGAATGCATCGTGGGGGATTTAAAAAGGCCCTGACAGAATCCCAAGCCCCGCGGGGAGTGCCTTTTCCCCCCCAAAGGCGACGGGGAGCTTCCGGCCTCCGGGGGGGAGACGCAGAGGGCAAAAGACGTCTCCAACGACCGCGCGACCTTCGAAGAAAACATCGCGGGAGGTTTGTTCTCCTCCTCCCCTTGGCATTTCAAATACTGCAAGCGCACAAACGGCGTCGGGATGGCGGGCGACCTCGCCAAGGCGTGGTTGATGGAGAGACTCCTGGGATGGCCGGAGTGGATTTTGAGGATTTTCCCCACCGGGGTCCACGCCGGCGGATTCCGCAGCGGCCGGTTCGACCGCAGGGCGGCGGGGGGCCGGGGTCCCCCCCTGGTGGGGGGGGCCAGGCCGTTCCGCCGCCGGGTCCTTCTCCTC